TAAGCTTTTTGTATTTAAAAACAGTAAGCTAGTAGGGAAAGTACTAATCAGATTGGGACTATAAGTTTGGACAAGTTGGTATCTTGCTCACTTAGCTAAAGTTTTTCTTTATGATATTAACTAGATTTAAAGTTAATTTTTGATTCAGTGTTAGTTGCTGTTTGATTGCAAGGACTGAACCTTGAGACCCATTTGATTCTTTTGTAGGGAATGATCCAACTCATAGCAATGATTCATCTTGGGACATGGATCGTTCAACAGTTCTAAAAGTTAAGATCATATACATTAGTTTTCCAATTTTAGCAGCAAAAAGTCCATTTTTTTAAAGGGAAGGGAATGATTATTATTTGGTTGTTTTCTGTCTTTCTCATTGGCTGTCATACTCATGATTGACTTACCAGTTTGTGCCTCTTCTTGCAGATGTTTTCGAATGGAATGAGGGAATCATATCAACGACATGTAACACTTAGGATACATGCCTCTGGTAAATGCTGGAATATTTGTCCTATTATTGATCATTGATATTTTCTTTTTCCACCTCTTCATATGAACTACCATTACCTTGGTCTGTTTTCATGTGGGAACTGGTTGAATTTTGTGGGTTCATTTATGCATGTGGTCATGATCTAAAGGTCATTACTTTGTTATTTACTAGGTAAATATGATCTAACACTGGTCTGTATAGCGACACCCCATCAACAACTACACCGACTGCCTTGCTAGATGTGTTGATGGCTGCTGACAAATTCAAGGTTGCATCATGCATGAGATATTATAGTCGATTGTTGCGGAACCATCCTATGACCTGTGAATCTGCCTTGCAATATTTGGACCTTCCTTCTAGCGTTTTAATGGCTGAAGCTGTTCATCCACTGACAGATGCAGCAAAGGAGTTTATTGCTGCGAGTTACAAGGATGTAACCAAGTGAGCACCACTATTATCTACAATATTAAGTACATATTTGTATTTTGAGTAATTTCTTATCTGTAGCTACAAGGTTGCTTACTTGTTACTTATATATGAATTTGCGGCATCCTTTTGTTGATATTTATTTGGTTTTGTTTTTAAGTTTTTCCCCCCAAAATGGTGGGCATTCTTCTCTTTAAACGATGGGATAAGAAATGCAGTGGTGTATAGCATGTTTATATTTTCCTGAGTAAAGTTTAATAACTTGGGTATGTGTGTATTGGCTGTCTGAAGTGGCAAGTTTTGTGAAATTAGTGTCAATGTTTCATTAACTGGTTTATTTTTTGGGTCCATTTTGAGTTAATTTCTGGTTCATGGATTAACTAGTTTGTGCCATTTTCTTGTCAGGTTCCAGGAGGATGTACTCAACTTGCCTCTTACTGGTATAGAGGCAGCATTATCCAGTGATGATCTTCAGGCAGCTTCAGAAGATGCTGCTTATGACTTTGTGGCTCGGACTCCTTACCCAATCCTGGAGGAACGAAGTGAAGTTCTTGCTACACACCTAGGCCGCCCATTCGTTTTCCGTATACGACCTGCAGAAAGCTGAAAAAAGTTTAAACCTGCAATGACTTTGATCCAGAACTTGCATCCAAGATTGTGCTCAAATCTCTCTTTTTCAAGGCTGAGACACCATACCGACAGCGTGCTCTTGCAGCAGAGGAGGCCAATACTCGTCGCTTACAATACTGTCTGGTCAAGGTTGTAGAATTTGAAATGCCACTACAGCAGTGTGTTGTGTACTTGGACCTGAAGCATGAGGAGTGTGCACTTCTGTTTCCTTCTGGTAGGGTTTATTCACAGGCATTTCATCTTGGTGGGCAAGGATTTTTCTTGTCTGCTCATTGCAACAAGGACCAGCAAAGCTCATTCCACCGCTTTGGGCTATTTTTGCGAATGCAAGTGAAAGGATCTGTTTTGCTGTTGACTACAAGTTTGCAGCAAGGTCAAAGCCAACTGAAGATTATGTAAGGATAAAGGGAATTACACTCACAGCAGGAAAGGCTGTTGTCTATCACAACCTGGTTGGTATACCTTGGACAGAATTCATGGCGGATGATAGCATTTACTTTATAAATGGCATCCTCCATCTCAGGCTTGAACTCACCATTAGACAACGCTAGGTTTTTCGAGTATTGTATGGTCCTAGATCACTAGATCAGTTTTTGTGATTCCCATTCTTTTGCTTTTTATCCTGTGTAAATTCCTTTTCAATCATTGGAAATTTTGAATAATTTTATTTTATGCACATTAATCTTCTGTTATATAAAATCTATTGCCAATCAATTTTTTATTTGAATAAAGGAAACCATAGTTTGAGAAAAAAGAAAGGGTATCTTAGTACTTATTGAATCACTTTTTAAAGGTAATTATGTGAGTGATAAATGAATCAAGAAAGATAAATTTTGATTTTAATCGATTCAAACTTGTTAACCTTCACTAATATAATAGTCTTCCAGTTAAAGAACATGATTTTAAGATCGGCCTAATCTTGCCCTGGAGCGAAAACAATCTGCATGGTTCCACTGAAAAAATGACACTTTGAATTGGAAGCAAAGCTTTAAAGGAAGCATCGGAACATCCTTCAGATTCTCGGAAGAAAATGCTTTGCCGACCGTTTTTTTATTTACAGATGCCACGAATAATGTGTCTTTTTCACTGTCAGGCAAAAGTTCGAGCCCTCAATTATTTCGAGAAAAGGGCAAAACGTCTCTAAGATAAGGTGATAATTCAATTAATTTTTAACATCTCGTCAAAAATTTAGCTGATGCTGGGGAAAAGGGAAACACAATGACAATATTGTACCAACAATCATCATAAGGTAAAATATTTCCTCCCCCTGAAATGGCCATTCTTCTCCGTTCAACTTCAAACCTGTTTCATGTTCTGCTTGCTCAACCACAAATTTGGACTAGGCTCCACAACTGACTAAAATTTCAGACAAATTTTCTCTTTTCATTGGCCTTGGTTTCATTGGCATGGTTATGGCTGATTAATGACAATCGGAGCAAGCTTCTTATATAAATCAAAGTTCTCAATCTGTCATGTGATATGTTAGATTGCATCCAAGTGAGCAGAGGAGAGCCTTCAGCGCATGCTTTTAGCACTAAATACGTAATTTTGTTCCCCACAATTTACGGGCGAAGCCTAAGACCATCCTTTCTGTTCCGTCGACACCAAATTGACTTTAATGATAAATGGCGACTTGAATTGCACGTAGCTACCAGACCCACCTCACCTAAGTCAACACGTCAAAATTAAACGTACACGACGCTCTCGACTGATGAATGGTTTGGGATTAAAAAAATCATGGCATTATCAATTATCTTTAATAGGTTTCATAGGTTAAAGATGCAAAGCTTTTTTTTTTTTCCCCTTTGGGTCCCCTTTAAAAGCATGCTTGATCACTTTGCAGAAAAGCATCATCATTCAACAATGCATTTTAAAACTATTTTCTTGAATAGTATTAGCACAAACCTTCTTCATAATCTTCCTACATTTCTAGTAAATTCCATTTTCTAATCTGTTCATGTTGAAAAGATTAGACAAGGCCTTCTGACATTGTGCATTATAACCAGAAAATCCAACATGAGCTTGGCATTCATCTGGTTGGTTTTTTGCTTGTGTTTCTTTTCATCTGTCCACGGCTTAGACAACTTTACCAATGATTCCCTGGATACATTTCTTCAGGATTTTGCTTTCAGAGCGCTGGTTCGACACAGGCCTCACACTGGAGCTTTATACAAAGCTAATCTTCCTGATAATGTGTCCGGGATGGATGTTTCTATCGCACGCATCAGAAGCCGGACATTGTGGAAAAATGGAGCTAATCTGAGCAGCTTTCACATCCCATCCAGGACCGTCCCAGTTCCTCATGTGAGAAGGCTAGCAATTGTCTATCAGAACCTCGGTAACTGGTCTTCTCACTACTATAGTGTTTCAGGTTGCTCGTTGGTGACTTCTGTTATTGGTTTCTTGGTTTTTGATGCTTCAAATACAAGAGCAAAAAGCCTAAGAAGCATCAGCCTTGATACAATGGGGAAGCCTATATCAATTCAATTTTCCAACCTGAAATACCCTGATGGGATGAACTCAGCTGCAGCAAGATGTGCAGTTTTCAGCACTAATGGGACAATTCACTACAGTGACTTGATCTTGCCCAATGTATGTTACACTTCAGATCAGGGCCATTTCTCTGTTGTTGTTCGACCGAAGAGGGAACAGAGGCCATGGTATCCATGGGTAATAGGGATTGGGCTTGATTTCTGGGCTGATTTTGACAAGTTACTTAGGCTTGGTATTTATTAGACTGTTGAAGACAAAAAGGATTCAAGCCATGGAAAGACAAGCTGATGAAGGTGTAATTTTTGACAGCAGATGGGTTGGTAGCAGTAAAATGCCTTCTGCAACAGTAACTAGGACTCAGCCAGTCCTTGAGAATGGGGGTTTTCCGTAATACCTTAATTTATCTTATATTTTACTACATCATTTTGTGTATATCTTCTTTTTCTTCTTTGTTTTTTGGCCTCTTAGAATAACTAAAATGTTGTTTATGTTTACATAAAATTAAATCAGAACACACTTGAATTTCTCTTTTTGAAACTGATAGCTTGTTCTATATTAATTTTGCTTGATGAAAAGGAGTTTCTCGCTTATAATTCTGTGTTTTTTTCCCATGAGAATGACAATCCGTTTAACAAGAACTTTGAAATAAGATGTCACATTTGAAAATTCAACGAGAATGCTCCAAAATGAAACTAAACTTCAATCTTTATCAGGGACATCCTACTATGGTCCAAAATGTTTCTTTTACGTTCTGCAACACCTTCAGCAATTGACCTCAAGGCCCCTTATCAATCAATTGCACTTGCAGTTTCCCAGGATCTTAACCATAATAGGTGATTCCCCACTGGGATAAGAGGGTAAACCTGGCCAAGTAGATTTTCTTTTCTCGTTTGCCTCTTCCCTCTTTTCCATTTCTTTTCCTACGGTTTCGGAAGTTTACTCGGGGCATTAGAAAAAAAGTTTTGGACAGCATCCTATGTTTTTATTAAAGAGGTTCCATTGACATATACAAGAAATCTGTATGATCATGGCTGGTGGTGCCGCTCGCTGGCAAAGTTCGGCGGCATATAACTAGAGGAAATGAGTCAAAGTTAAGATGACAAATAGGTGAAAAAAATAAAAGAAAATTTATATTTGTGACTGCCACATTTTACCACCCTAAGAATATCGCTAAAAAGACGTGACCTTGGTGCAAATCGTTTCAAGAAATGCAAGTATATACGCATAAGACTGTAAATTATAACATGGGCAATTATTTCTCCCTTACAGTCAGACTGCAGTTTTAAAGTCTCAAATGGAAAGCTACATGCAGTTATCAAAAACATGTGAAATCAAAAACTAGTAAGTATTACCTCGTTAAAAGGGACGTTGAAAGACATTTTGTGTCAAACATGAATTTTCAAGTAAAAGATTAATCTTCATACTGCCCACCGGCCACCAAGTGCAGGAAAACCTTGCACAAGATCTACCTCGTAGAGCAGAAAACTGTTAAGAATTCATTTCTTAAGCTACGAAAATGAAACCGGTCGCCAAATCATCTCTTCCAAATGTTCATCTGCAAACAGAAAACGAGTGCAATTTTCGGATGCATGAGTGTGCACCTTATGAGGACTCCGTAGTGGCCACATTCAGGCAAGAGATTCACAATTCAAATTGCTTACTTTGACATCTAATCAAACTCATAGCGATGGACACTGCAAATTTTCACTGATAACAACTACATGACTAGGATTAAAAACATTAATCCAGGGAACGTACAAAACAGGTTCTTTCCCCATTCTATTTGCAGCTGATTCAAGTCACCAGTAGTATCAGATTGGCTTATCCCAACTAGTTCACCAGAAAGCAGCAATGGTTAACATTTTGAGCCAAAAAAAGAAAAAAGTAGCAATTGCTCTACTCTAAACTATAGTTCCATGGACATCACAAATTCTTCATAACAACTAAATGACTGGGATTAGGAATATCAGTCCAAACAAAGAATGCAAGAAAAATAGTTTCTAGCCCCATCTATTCGAGGAACAAAATAAAAGCCATATAGGAGTCACCAAATGTAAGATGCATGCCAAGGCCATATAGGAGTAACAATGGGAGCTACAATAACCTACAACATCCCTTTCCAAAATAATTGGGCAGACGTTTGCAATGTTACTGACCCTTTTCCAGTTGCAAACTGACAAATCTTTCTGCCTTTACATTAAGAAAGCTACCAAAATTTCTCAATCATTTGTGCTAAAATTCGAAATTCCAACTCTTGTATAAATTCATACCATCCTTTCTTATTTAACCTTATAACAGGAATATAATGAGAACCAGATGAAAGCTCTATCTACTCTGCCGCAAGTTGCCACACAAATCATTGAACCACTCAATTTCTAAAACTCAAAAGGCATGCATTTATTAAAAAAAAAAACTGCAAGAGTGAACAGTCATTGCCATGCCCATGTAGAATTCTATTCCAACACGGAAATATAACCAACTCTCAATTGAAACAAACAAGTAAACCAGAGTATAACAAAATAAAATAGAAAAGCTCAATTAAGTGCACCAACACCAGCATTACTCTTACGAGCAAGCTTTGTCCACTCAGTATGAAATGAACCTGGACGATCAATCCTCTCATAGGTATGTGCCCCAAACAAGTCCCTCTGTGCCTGCACAAGATTTGCTGGGAGCCTTGCACGTCTATAGGTATCAAAATAGGCAAGACTAGCACACATTCCTGGTGTGCTGATCCCTGCAGAGATAGCCAACCCCACAACTCTCCTCCAAGCGGCCTGCCTCTGAACCATCTCCTTAGCAAACTCAGGGTCGACAACCAAGCTAGCCAAATTAGGATTCCTTTGGTAAGCCTTCTTAATCCTATCCAAAAACACAGCTCTTATAATACACCCACCTTTCCAAATCCTAGCCAACTCTCCAAAATTCAAATTCCACCCTTTTTCAACACTCTTAGCTCTCAACAAATTCATCCCTTGAGCATAACTACATATCTTTGACGCGTACAAAGCTTGCCTAACGTCATCAATCAATCTTTTCTTATCAATCCCCTTAGCTAAACTACCAAATTCCTCCTTTAATCCAGCTTCTCTCAAAACCCCAGCTGCATTTTCCCTCTCCTCCTTTAACCCACTCAAATACCTACAATCCAATGAAGCTGCGATTGTAGGAGCAGCAACAGACAACTCAGCAGCTTGCTGCACAGTCCATTTCCCAGTTCCTTTCATCCCAGTCTTATCCAAAATCTTATCCACCAAATACCCATCTCCCAATTCATCCTTAACTCTAAAAATATCAGATGTTATTTCAATTAAGAAACTTTCAAGCTCTCCCCTATTCCATTCCGCAAAAATCTCCGCCAATTCATCATTCGAAAGCCCCCCAACATGTTTAAGAACATCATAAGCTTCAGAAATTAACTGCATATCACCATATTCGATTCCATTATGAACCATTTTAACGAAATTACCTGAGCCTCCTTCGCCAATGTAAGTAACGCAGGGTCCATCTTCGACTTGGGCCGCCACATTTTCGAGTATGTCTTTGATATTCGAATAGGCTTGGTGAGAGCCTCCGGGCATTAACGATGGGCCGTTGCGGGCTCCTTCTTCGCCGCCGGAAACGCCCATGCCGAGATAAAGAAGACCCTTATTGGAAACTTCTTGGATTCTTCTCTCGGTGTTTTCATACCATTCGTTACCACCATCGATGATGCAGTCTCCAGGCTCCATGTGGTCGGATAAAGCGGCAATGGTTTGATCAACGGGTGAGCCGGCTTTGACTAAGATGACGACAGATCTGGGTCGTTGGATAGAGAGGACGAAATCGCGAGGGGAATAGTGGCCAAAGAGTGGGAGCTGGCCTTCATCTTGAGATCGCAGGACGGTTTCGTCGACTTTGGAGGTGGTGCGGTTGTAGACGGAGATTGGGAAGCCTTTTTCGGCGACGTTTAGGGCAAGGTTTTGGCCCATGACGGCTAGGCCTGCTAGGCCTATGCGAGAAAGAGCAGGGGAGGCTTCCATCTTTTGGGTGGAAAAGACGAAGGAAAGGAAAGGAAATGGGGGTTAGGTAGAAAGAAAGAGAGAAGAAGGAAATGGGAGTTTGGTGAAAGAAATTTTTATTTTTAAAGAGCCTTTTGAAGGTGAGAGGCAGTTCGGCTTTTCGAAGAAAGGAAAGACTTCTGTGAGAGTGACGGACTCGTCGAGGGAGTGAAAGGGCAGTTGGCTTAACCAACGATGAGCGAGGCGGTCAGCTTGAGGAATGAGGGTTGGGGTGGGTTGCAGGCTCAAACGCGGCGTTTTACTCACACGTATCAAACTACTTATCTTAAACTAGTCAAAATATTGAGTCTCAACTGTCAACTCCTCAATGCCGTCTTGTCTTGTCTTGTCTTTTCTGTTCATTTCTTTTTCCTTTTTTAAATGATTGAAACAGTGGCGTCTCAAATGATAATTCATTTTCTCTGGGGTTTAGTAACGGGTTCAAGGCCTAAGCTCAACCAAGAAAACTTGTCCTACATTTTGATCGGCCATTCTCCTTACTAAAGTCAAAACTAAATCTTCAAACTTGTCTTGGCAACATCAAGCCATCGGATAATGGCCTTCAAAGCCTAAAACTGCTGATGAAATATGAATGATGATCTCCCTTGAAGTTGTTAAAACTGGTTCCAGACTTGAGAACGATGATCTCAACTGGGTAGGAGGCTTTGCTGGGAACTTTAAATTACTTCCAATTGTTATTCCAGTATTATAAGAACAAATCCTTCCCCATTTTTAATTATAAGTTTTCCACCAGGCAGAGTTGATTAGAAAAACTTTATTACCAATCGTCTAGAGGTGTACCATATTAGCAGAACGTCACCAGTATTCCTGGACTAGCTGTCGGAACAATGATCCCTACTTGTTCATCAGCTTCATTGGCTCATCGTACTCCACCAATTTCCCTGTCAATTCAAACTTGAAACAGATTATATATGTTGACTGGGATAACAATTGAAAGGATGGACACGGCTTAGCAAAACTCATTTGGAGATCTGACAACTCACCATCACATTTGGTATTCTGTAAGCCACAGTTATCACAGTGCAGTCTTCAAATTCTGTTCTTATTGTTTTCTGGATTATAGAATCGGTTGCATTGTCGATCAACGCAGTTGCTTCGTCAAGCACTAATATGCTTCTCCTCTTCAGCAAGGCACTCCCCAGACAGAATAATTGCCGCTGCCCCACTCTCCAGTTTGATCCATCTTGTACAACTGCAATTCATGTTGTTAGTAGAAGCAAATGCAGATCTTCAATGCAAAAGCAAAACTTCGAAATCTTTGTTTCTTACCAAAGGAGTTCAGGCCACCTTCTTTCCCTTGAACTGCCTCTCGGAGCTGACACTTTTCAAGAATCTTAACATGCAATGATGAGAAAAATTTCTAGTCAGCAAAAACAGCAATGAAGTAATATGATAGATTGTTTCATGTATAGCCACATATTAGAACGAATGTTACCTCCCATATTTCATTATCGGTTTGTTTTTGTAAGGGGTCTAGGTTGTATCTGACAAAACCACCAAAAAGTGTTGGATCCTGAGGGGTGATCCCCAAATGTGATCTCAAATCATGAAGCCCAATTACAGATGTTAAGGTTATCAATGATGATTTCTCCATCTGTAGGCTCTACCAGGCGGAACAAAGCACTGATAAGGGTGGTTTTTCACTGCCGGTCCTGCCACCTATCCCAATTTCACTTCCTCCTTCAAATATGCAGCTGATGCCTTGAAGAACTAGTGGAGCTTTAGGCCAATATCTAACCCGCTTGGTGAATTTGATATTATATACATTCCTGTAAAATCCATAACTCGCAAAAAGGAGAAAATAGCTAGTGCACTTTCTTTTGTACCTTCAAATTATGAATCTTCACTTTGCCAACAGAAGGCCAGTCATGTGGTGGTCGGTTAGTTTCAATTACTTCTGGGAGCTTCACTAGGAATATGCGTGTATTGCTCTAGCCTTTCTACAGAAACAACTGAACTTGATAGCAAACACTGAAATCTTATAGAAACAACTAGGGATACATCTAATGAGAGACCATAGGCCAGTGCCATTCCAATTAACCCTGCCATTGAAATGATGAAATCCATAATTAAAATATTGTTAGAGAATAATCCAAGAGATGAGCACGTGTTCTCCATTATTTCCTCAAATTATGGAATGAAACTTTTGGGATGAATTGGTTGTATCGCTGAATCTTTGGGGGAGTTAACTCTTAAGCTTAGGTCATAAGGATGATGCTTGAACTAACCAGATGCAGATGCTCCAAGAGGAATTAAAGTCATGGAAAGGGCTGAGGAAGAAAGAACAATTGCACACAATATTTCCAACCATTGGATTAACCACTCGTTAGCAGAAAAGATATGGAAGTCAGTACTTGCATTGGCATCAATCAGGTTTATATTCTTTAAAAAGAATCGGTCTCCCTCCCCAAAAGCTCTGATTGTCATGAGTTCAGCAATGGATTCAGCAACGTGGCTGGCAGCTGAAAACGTTGTTGTGCCAATGATTCGCATCAGTTCCTTTGCAGAAGCATAGTAGTGTCTCTAATTATTTGGAGAAATAAGAATATAGTGAAGAGAAGGTAAGAGAAGTTAAGAACCAATTAGATGAAACCATTTTAAGATTTGGAAGGAGGTAAAATTTGGTTCTATACATATATTTAGTACCTGTAAAAGTATAGTCAGATAAACCATGGGAATAATGATAAATGCAACTGGCCAGGCGAGATTTGCCAATATAAGAAAAAAATGAAGTAGGTGTTCATGGTCGTTCCAATTGTAATTGATAATTTGAAAGCCATTTCAAGGTCAATGATGCTTAAATCAGCGGAAGACACCTAGTAGAGTACATCCAATCACAGTGAAAACTGTGAGTAATGTATGAGCGCACACCATAGCCTTAACTCTTGCGTTTCCCTAACCTTTTTTTTCATTGACAAGAGTCGTAAACTCACCAGCTTAACCTCCAACAAATTCTACCACTTACAAACTCAAAAATACCTCAACAATTTCTTTGTTTTCGATTGAAATCTCTTTCCTTTTCTTTCAAGTATTAACCAGTTGGATTGGCCCTTCGTGTTAACATCCATTTTAGTATTTCTTTGGGCCGATCAAAGCCACCTTCGTTTTAGCATTTCTTCGCCGGTCTCTCTATGCCTTTTACATATGCCCAAAAGACAATCCCAGCTCTGGCCTCTGGACCATGGTTCACACTTTACTAGGCTTTATTTATACAAGGCATTTCCTGCCCATATTGACTATTAAACTCTTGACGTTCAGTTGGATTCTTGCAGCTCGGCTGGTGGTCACTATGCAGATTCGGGGGATTTCATAACGTCTATGTACAATGCATTTGGCACCCCGTTGTAAAACCTTTGCTTTTGAATTTGCTTTCTGGTTTTTGATAGGAACTGATGGCTAGAACTGCCACGGATGTTGGGACCAAATCTAGTCAAAAGATATCACTTTCTTCAAGCAAAATCTAGGAAAGAACATGGCCAAAAAGTCACAAAGGTGTTACAGTTGCACCACCTACACCAAATTAGGCACATAAAACGGATTTTTGCGGGCATACCAAATGTAAATAGTTTATAATTCAGACATATATTCAAGGAATTTTAGTAGATACTTAAGACTTTTGCATGATATTGAGTTGGTGACTTAATTTTTATAAAAATATGTTTTTTATTATAGTAATCTATTTCAATATTCCTTAATACAGTAACTTTTTTTTTTGTTTAAGTGGATTAATGGTCTATTTAATAATTTTATAATACTTTCTTATATAAAAAATCTATAATATTGTACAAACTGTAGAGTATACTAACATATGTAATTGCAAATCATGATATAGAAGATTACCTCTTAACTTAAAGATTAAAAAAAAGGAAAAAATCACCAAAAGAGAGAAGAAGCTTTTAGAAATACATATTTATATTAAAAATTCTAAAAAAATTCTTAGAAACCTAGAACTTGACTTCTCCAAAGAGTTACAAACTCGTATAGGAACAAAAGCAAATAAATAAGACTTAAAATAATTATAATGGGTCCATAACTTGACTAAAATAATTTTAATAAAGTAATTTTAATAAAATTAATAAAGATAAGATTTTTTTTTATCAAAGTAGCTTTTAAAAAAAAACTTAAAGTATACTTGACATAAAGAATAAAGTTGACAAAACATAAAGTTGACATAAAATTGATGTTAACAAAAAAAAAGTTTGAATTAATGTGTCAGCACCAAACTTGTGTAAGAGTCTTTGGAGCAATATAAAATTATTACATATAATTATATATAATTTTATATTGGAACAGGGAATTTTTGACTGGAGCATCATCAAAGCACTTGTATGTTCTAGTTCTAGGGCAAGGTTCCAATTTGAATTATAATGAAATCATAACTTAAAATTTTTTAATCATTAATTTGGGTCAAAATCTTCATACGATTTTGTGAATCTTGTCATTCCATTTCTTTAATGATATAAGGGGAGTCTAATAAGGGTTTCAATCTATTGGTCTAATATGATCAAGTTCATATTTGTTCTTTCAAGAAGGGGTTCTTTCCATGTATTATCAAATCTTGCGTCATAAATTTTTTTGTCAATTTTAAGCTGATAATTGCATTTTGAATGATAATTTTTCTAAGAAACATCATCTTGAAATTCTGTCCAAATTTGACTTAGAATCTTATGATTCATTTTACATATCTGGTTGTGTTTCAATGCTAAGTTCAATCTCTAACTTCAATCAATATCCATGATCATAATTTAATCTCAATAATCTCAAATATAAAAAAAGTCTGGCTTTTGTGAATTTGATTTCAAATTACACGTCCGTCTCATGGAAGCAATAGAAAATATCTAAACCTTAACTGTAAGGTCTTTATCAATGAAAAACAAAAGAAAAAAAAACAACGAAAATTGTGACAAAAACAACTCAACATTGTTTTACATTAATGTTATTCATGCCGAACAATGTTTTGGCAGCCTTAGTGGATGTCATGCCTTTCATCTGATTTAGATGATAAATCAAAAGTTAAGAAAAAGATGCGCAGCCCTGGTTAGACTGTGCCCACATGCATTTTTTAAGTGTTTGATGACTTCATAGAATTCCCCCCAAGGCCCCCACTTGATGCGTGTAATATGTACGATGTGCTTGATCTGAATGGGGCACATGATTTTCCCCTTTCAATGGAGAAAAATATTACTACATCGTTTGCGTTTGTTCCTGCAGAGGTTGTTTTTGAACTTTTTTTTTTATCCCAACAATACGTATTGCTGTTAATAACTTTTACTGTAGATGTGATCATGTTAAAATCTTAGTATTTAAAGCCACAAGGATTAATCAATCAATAAGAAAAAGAGAAGTTTAATTTTTTAAGAGCAATAAAATTTTGAGTGCATCAAATTGATATAAAAAATATATATTTTTTTTAAATTATAAACCTTAGTTGTTAAAATATCAATGTCAAGCTGAATCTAAATGAATTTGTTGAAAATCTTACGGAAAATAAAGGCCTATCACTGGTTGATCTTTCTTGACCTTGAATTACAACCTTAAGGCTGAGATTTCTGCCGAAAGATAGAATTAGCCAATAAGGGAAAGCAATAGGTGAGCAAGGCTGGTAGGCAGATGCTTACAAAACTGAAATTCAATGCAATACATCATTAGGTTATCAGCTGCAGCTCTTTTTGGCTCATCCTCCTCCTCTAGCCATAGATTAGTTACTCTTAACCACCGTAGAATTGGAATTAATCACCCTAATAAAATCTAGAGAATCTCTAGCAGAAAAAGGTTAAGTGAATTGACAATTGACAGAATATATCTTGGATTAATGTAACCCAATAGCCCATCCATTTTCAGATTAGGTTTGATTATCTTGATTAAACTTTCAAAACTGTCCTGTACCTGTGATAATGATTTTGTTAGAAGAAGTGAGAAATGAAATGAGTTGAAAATATATCCTCTATTCAGGGTGTCATGTTTAGATTTTAGAGTTTACATCATGTGCGGCAGCCACCACCGCTCCATGCCAAAAATTTCTCCCTGTTGCTTGGTCTTATTGCATAATTTTTTTACTTTAAAATACTCAGTAAGACTAATTAAATAGGAATTAGTCGCCCTCCCAAGCATGATCCATGTGAGACTTACGTAATTATCTCTTCAACAAATCTGACCCTTCAATCTTTCTTTTACTAAAACAAACAGGTCAGACTCAAATTTGCAGACAAATCTTTCTCGAAAAGTGCTCGAGTCTTGAGTTAACCCTCCCTCACCCCGGTTTCATTTTCCTAACCTCTTTAAAGCTGTTTCTGTCCGAACGTTTTTGCTTGGAAAAACAGGCTCTTCAACATTTATTTGGTCTTGATTTTGGAACCGTTTTTTGTTGGTTCATTGAAGTTTAAGACAGCTTGATCGTCTGGGGAGTTGTTGCTAGACTAGGATTTTGTCTTTTGTTTCTCTCCTTGAATTTCCTTTAACTGAATTTGGCTTGTTTGAAAGCTAAGTTCTGGGAATTTGGTTTCAAATCTTCTAGCAGCTATCTGTCACTGAGTTTCTCTTGTAGGCAGTTTTAACGGTGAAGATAGATTAAGGTAGTTACAAAGGTAGTTGGGACTTCAAAGTTGGCTTCACGAGAAAATTTGGTTTGTAGCAAGAAGTGTCGAGGGCAAGTTCTGACTCTCAACAGCTGCACTAATTGTTATAAGCCTTCTGCGTTTTTCTTGAGATAACAGAGAAAGCTCTGTCTGCTACTCTGCTTCTTTGTTTCCTCTTAGATGTCCTTACTGTGTTTTCACTATGAATCATTCTGGGGCCGCCTTTTATCAGAAAGCAGCAGTTGAAGTCACGAAGGATAGAAATGGAATTGATCAGGTTGTGCTTCAGAATCCTCGAGGGGCATCTGCAAGGGTCAGAATATTTTTGTTTTACTTTTCTTTCTCCTTTTCTAGTCTTTTCATAGTTTTAAGGTTTAAGGATTATTGACAAATTGAATAGGTTGAAGGAGCAGTCAAAAACTAGGCAGATGCTTGATTTTAGTTGTCATTTATCCTCAGTCAATCTGCCATTTTGGCTAAGTAGAGGCAACGTGGGTTAAATAGTGATATTCTTGCCTTAAATCAATCCAGGTTAGCTTGCATGGAGGACAGGTTCTGTCATGGAGGACTGACCGAGGAGAAGAATTATTGTTCACAAGTAGCAAGGTAACATTAAAATCTGGAGTTTTAGGTCATATTTCTATTCTGCTGGCATATGATTTTCATCTTTAATATGGTCTAGAGCAAAAATTATAGTAGTATATATCAATCAATTCATAGAAAATTATCGTTCTCTTTCCGATTTCACGTACCGTAGGCAATCTTCAAGCCACCACATGCAGTGCGAGGAGGAATACCTATATGCTTCCCACAGGTATTCAGGATTCGATGCTTATACGCATCAGTTTTCTTCTACCGGTTTATATGCGTCTGGTTGATGGGTTTTCTTTCAAATCTGTTAGTTTGGTCGGCGAGGATCACTGGAGCAACATGGATTTGCCAGGAACAGGACTTGGATCCTCGATGATAATCCACCACCATTGCATCCAAATGATTCCAGTGGCAAAGCCTATACTGACTTACTGCTAAAGCCGTCGGAAGATGATTTGAAGATCTGGCCACACAGGTGAGATCTTAATCTGCCATGGGTCCTCAGAAACCACTATCGAATTCATCAATGGAATTTGCTGATAGTATATCTGTCAATCTTTTACAATTAAGCTTAGATTGGGAAAAGTTACCTCTGGTATAGCAACTTCTTTACAGTGTTAACTAACATGACACATTTATACTGATGAAGCAATCTAGCTGGATATTAATATTATGTTTATATGTAATTATGTATATTAATGATTGATTTGACCCTTTTCAGTTTCGAGTTTCGTCTTCGGGTATCTTTAACAGCAGATGGGAATCTAAGCTTGACATCACGCATCAGGAATATCAATTGCAAGCCTTTTAGTTTCTCAATTGCTTATCATACGTACTTCTCCATATCTGATATCAGGTATAGAATCTGGTCATACCCCTAGGCGTCAGCTACAGAAATCATTTAACTCATCAATTAACACTACTACTCTTTGTTTAATCTTTCAAGTCCATGGACCATTAGTCCATCATAATTTCCTTAAGGCAAAAAAGTAGTGCCTTCAGGCCTCAGTCATGGGAAACAACAAGCTTTAGACATTTATGGATATCTTTTCCTGAACTAATTAACAGTGAGGTGAGGGTAGAGGGATTGGAGACTCTTGACTATCTCGACAACCTATACCAAAGGGAACGCTTCACAGAACAAGGAGATGCCTTGACATTTGAATCTGAGGTAAATCATTCACTGCTTGTTTGAATCCTATAACCTGCAAATGGAAAATCTTTTCAGTTTTGGAAACAGATGGAAACTACAGAGGAAAAAACCCTCAAAGCATAAGCATTCAATTGATAAAACAATATGCTGATCCAAGATGCAGCAAAAAAACTTCTACACTCATCTGCAGAGATAATTAAACATGTCAATAATTTTTATCATGCACATGGCTGAGTAGATGTTTAAGCCTTAATTACTGCTTTTGAATTTGCAGGTGGACAGAGTTTATCTTGGCTCTAGAGATATCATTGCAATCTTCGATCATAAAAGAAAACGGACCTTTCTAATACAGAAAGAAGGCCTTCCAGATGTTGGTAAGCTTTTAACCCTTTTCAATTAATGAATTAAATCTAAAGCAGTAATATAAGTGGTATAAATAGCATCCTCCTGGGAGAATCAGAAACGGTATTTCATATTATAAAAAAACCAGGCATATGAAGATCACTGCAATCCATTAATCCAAAACCTGGCCCTGATGTTTAAATTCTTTTGTGTTTCTTCAGGGGTTTGGAATCCATGGGAGAAGAAATCAAAGACCATGGTTGATTTTGGGGATGAAGAATACAAACAGATGCTATGTGTCAATGCCGCAGCGATTGAAAAACCAATCACCTTGAAGCCGGGTGAGGAATGGACAGGCCGTCTGGAGCTCTCAGTTGTCCCTTCAAGTTAATGAAGTAGTTATCATCTTGAACTCCACATCAAGCCTCATCTTTCTAAAAAAATGACAGCAAATAATACAAATAAAGCTCCCCGAGGGCATCTTTCAAGTTTCAACCAAGAGGCAAAATGAATACGTTCATTTTTATTCAATTATTTACGATCACTGTGCCATGTAGTGGTCATGAAAATGTAAATTCCTGGAAATGGAGATCTGTTTTAATGTTTCTCCATGATAGCAATGACATAGTTGTGTTTATCTATTAAATTTCTGTCTTATAGACTTAAAAAAAATGACAGTGAATGTTGCGACAAGAAGTGATCAAAATAGATTTTATTTAGTCTCTTTCTATATCTATTTCCATCTCTCATATGCATTACCTGGAAAAATGATGCAAAGGATGATGATCATGTATAAAGGCCTTGAAAAGCTAGAAGCTCAGGACTTCTAACCAGAATCTACAATATCTGAAATGTGCGACATGCAAGAGCTAAGCAGGTAACGGTTTAATAAGTCAAGGAAATTCTTAATGAAAGGGTTGAAGGCTAAACAACCAAAATCTTGGTCTCGTTGTTAAAACATAATAATGAATGACATGCCTTCTGCAAAATCTGGTGCAAGAATGTTCTGACATTGTATAAAATGGAAGAAAAGGGATGGCCACCTGAGCTACTCTTTTATCAGAGCCAGGTTTCGATCCTGGGACCTGTGGGTTATGGGCCCACCACGCTTCCGCTGCGCCACTCTGATTTTGCTTGAAATCTAACAACTAATATAATTTAAACTTTATTTCCATCTCTCATATGCATTACCTGGAAAAATGATGCAAAGGATGATGATCATGTATAAAGGCCTTGGAAAACTAGAAGCTCAGGACTTCTAACCAGAATCTACAATATCTGAAATGTGCGACATGCAAGAGCTAAGCAGGTAACGGTTTAATAAGTCAAGGAAATTCTTAATGAAAGGGTTGAAGGCTAAACAACCAAAATCTTGGTCTCGTTGTTAAAACCTAATAATGAATGACATGCCTTCTGCAAAATCTGGTGAAGGAATGTTCTGACATTGTATAAAATGGAAGAAAAAGGGATGGCCACCTAAGCTACTCTTTTATCAGAGCCAGGTTTCGATCCTGGGACCTGTGGGTTATGGGCCCACCACGCTTCCGCTGCGCCACTCTGATTGTGCTGGAAATCTAGCAACTAATGCAACTTAAACTTATATTGAATTAGCTTTTCTAGTAAGCAGAACGGAAGTTGGGACTAGCCGAAGAGGCTGCATTCTGTTGATGCAACAAGATAGAAAACTCTGGCCAAAAATTTTACGTCCATATCCAAAGGCCAAGGACCCAAGGCCATTGCTACAAAATTAGCCTCCCTGTCCAATTAGCAATCACGCCTTCCCTACCAATATATTCCCATTCTAAAACAGACATGGCCAACTTCATGAAATCAAATCAAAATTTCTTGCCTAGGTATTGATAATAGACAATTGTATATGGGTTCCCCGACCAATGTTAGGTTTGAATTTTATCGCACTTTTGATGTGGTGCAATTGATTTTATCATACACTAATAAAATTAAAATATCAATTTCAATAAGATTCATTCAACATAAATTTTTTATTAAATTTTTTCTTCAATCACAATTATAGTATTTTTTTTTCAATCATAATTATAATAATTATTATTATTATTTTTAATCTTATCATCCATCCAAATGAAGCTCAAAAAAAATTATCTGCCTCCAAACCCGAACATGAACCCAATTGTCTCAATTCACTTCTCTTTTCCTTTAGTTTGACAAATCTTCTTTGCTTTCTCACTCGTCCTAACTCTTGCACTCGTGCATCAATTATAAGAAAAATGAATATACATATAACAATTCGGATTGCAGCTTTTTTGGACAATTGTTTTTGAAGTTTTCGACCAACTTTGTAGACGACAAGGAACAATCTCTTTAAAGGTTTTAGATGAGAGCCATAAAATCACAATGAGGTAGTTAAATGTTCGTTGAATCACATGGAGACATGCATTAGTGAATATGGAAGTGGATAAAAAAACAAATCTTACTATTCTTTTTTAAATGGGAGAGGGGTGAAGATAAATTCTTGATAATCTAAACCACCATAGCTACACTAGCTCCATCCAGAGGAGGGGGAAAAAAAAGAGAAAAGAAGAAGATAACACTTGATCAACTTATCATCAACCTCCAAATGCATTGTTTTAGAAAAGGAAATTTAATTTGGCAGATATGTAAGTTGTTAAGAGGTCTTATTTTTAGTTACTATACTACTGAGACAACTGAAGTAGCAAAGGTATGGACCATGTAACTACGAAACTTCACTTGTTATAATTAAGAAAAAAAAAAAAACAAAAGATACTTAAAATGAAAAATGCACGTACCAGTTTTTTGGTCTAGGGCAAAAAAGTTATAAAAAAAAGGTATAAAATTTTGGATTCGAACCAAGTTATTTCCTTTTTCATTTTCAAATCTTATAAACTAAAAAAAATACATATATGAACATTTAACTTAATAATAAATATATAATTTTTCACTTAAAAAATTGTAAGTAATAAAATGCAATAATGTAATATAAATTAAAATATAAAATATGTAATATGTAAAATAATATGTGTTATTTTATTTTAACACATAAAATAAAAGGAATAAGTAATATAAAATGTGCGAGGCTGATTTAGTTGGACCATGGATTTAGTGCATAGTTTTTGTGGCTAAAACCTTGTGCTAACACGAAATTGATATGAATTACGTTTCATTGTTAATGGTTTTAAAATACTGTTAATTTAGAATTGCTTTGATAGTGTGGACATGATTACTAGAATTTAAATATTTTTTTTTTTAACTTTTAACACATATATAAATATATATATATATATCTGTTTGTTTAGTCCGAATGAAATTGCAATATAAAATTTTAAAGTGTATTATCAAATTGAAATTATTTAATATAGGATAAGATACATACAATTGATCAAAATTTTACTAATACAATTTATTAAAATTTTACTAACTTTATATATTAACTATATAATAATCCGTGCGATGCACAAAATAATTTTACTTATTTAATATGAATATGTATATACAAATTAGTTTTTTTTCAAAATTATATTCAAATCTTTAAAACTCATAGAATATATAAAATTTATAAATATTAACTTATTACTAAAAAATAAACTTTTTGTAAACAGTAAAAAAAATTATATATATATCCTTTGGTTATTTTTGTTTACAATAATATTTATACATTTATAAGATAATATCAAATAAAAATAATTATGGCTTTTTAAAAAATATATATTATTGAATGATAAATTAATTATTAACATACTTTAACTTTAGTAATCTTAACTAAATTATTATGCAAAATATGAAAATATGTGAAAAAATAAATTAAAAAATATTATTTTTAATAGGAATGAAATTGTAATAACAATAAAATAAACTTGAAAAAAGTTATAAACAAATAAAATAAAACAAATTGCAATAGTAATATAATCTACCTTGAAAAATTTTGATGTATAACATATTACATTTGTAGTTTTAAATTTGTAGAATAATTCTTTAGTGACAATTAGAATTAAATAAATACTTTTTAAATTAATTTTTTAAATTTTAAAATGGATATAATAGGTGATAAATATAATATTAAATTTTTTGCATTTATTTAAAATATAAATTTGATAAGAAGTGTTCAAATAGATATAATTGTTTTAATGTTTTTATTGTTTAAAATTTTAAACTGAAAATTTTTTGAATTTTCAAATTCACATATAATTACTTGAATTTTTATTGTCTTATGTAAAATTTTTTAAAAGGATAATTTTTAAATCAAGATAAAAAAAATTATTGAAAGATTTGGATAAATTTAATCTTTGTAATTTTTAAACATGTTTAAAAGATTTTATAATTAAATAATTTTTTAAATAAAGTTATTTGATAAACAACTAAAATTATTTATTAAAAAATTAATTTTATATTTTATATTTTTAATTTTAAAATATATATCTCTAAATTGATTTAATTGTCAATTATAATTTGTATGATTTTAATATTTAAATAAATTTAAAATTATCTAATTTATAATTAAAATAAATTATCTTTTTTTTAAATTATTAAACATGTCATTTAAGAGAGTTTCTCACGTAGAAGCTAATATGATAAACTTATTTATATATATTGTTATATAATATATATATATATATATTATATTAGATATTAGATTTCTTTTGCAAGTTTTTTTAAATAAATTTATTTTAGAGTTCTTTAAAAGTTTGTTTTCAAATTTCACAAAAGCTATAAAATATTCTTTTAAATTCCCTTTCAATCCAACTTCAAATTTTAGCATAAAAAAGGTGTTTTTGAGACTGAAGGACCAAACAACCACCAAGATTTTTGGGATCACATCAATCACCAATCAAGTAAAGCAAATTAAACTTTAAAGTTTAATTTAAACAGTTTATGTAATTAGTTTAAAAGAATGATATTCAATAAATTTTAATACTTATATATATTTTTCCAACCGGGATCTCGTTTACAACAAAATTTAAGTAAGAAAAATAATAACGAAAAAAATTAATGCATATTTCTTAATTTTAGTTAAAATATTTTAACTTGTTACCAAATGTTAAGAGTATTATTTTAGTCAAAATCAAATATCTATTTATAGCTTTCAACTTTGAAACTTTTTATTTTTTATTTATATATTAAAAATTCATAAAATTAATTTATGAACTACTTTAGAGGTATTAAATGAGTTTTGTTGGACCGATATAATATATTTAAATATTAATTTATATGTTAATAAATTATGTTGATCTAGCATTATTTTTTATTTTATCGTATTAATATAGCCTATGAAAGTTAAGAGTACGCATGATTTAGTACGACAAATAATCCGTAATTTTTATGATTCGTGTCATGTCAAGTATGATATTTTTTGCATTGAGATGGATAAAATCAATCCATTAATAATTTTTTAAAAATTTTTTTATTTTTTAAAAATATCTATTAAAAATAACATGTGCGAAAGATAAATAAACATAGAATAAAATAAAAAGATACATAATTTACGTAATTTTATAAAATGTTTGTTACCACATAAAAGAATAATATAATTTATTAAATAAAAATATTAAAATTATTATCATAATATTTTAAAAAAATACATGTACTTATAAAAGATATTATAAAACACAACATTATTTTTTTATTTTTCATTCTCACCACCTAATGATTCACTCATATTATGTATTTTGTTTTGTACATTTATTTTATATCTTTAATTTTATAATAATTTACTTTATTAATTGAATTTTGTATTTAACTTGAAGTCTTAATTATTTATCATTTTATTTTTGTTAATCACTAATTAAATATAATTTATTTATCAATAATTTAAATATTTAATAAGTAAATTTATTTAATATAATTTTATTTCATAAATTACAAACAAAATATAA